CAGGAAGGCAGAAAATCTTCATCCCTTGGGGAATGAAGGCCTAGAACTCACAACTGAACTCAAGCAAGGACTGTCTGCTACTGGAAGGATATTAGCTCCCTTAGCCTTGCAGCAGCTGAGCTCCTCACAGACAACTGAGGTAACTGCCTGGGGAAGAGATGGGTGGGGATCGGGTGGGCATCAATCCTTTTTCTTTCTATATACTTCCTTCCCTCCTAGAAAGACTCCATCTGGTTTAGCAATTTCTTTCCTATCTAACATTCCTTCCGCATGAGTTAAAACAAGCACATTTTCAGCAAATGTTTTGGAGAGAATGTGTAAGAGGGACCTTACTTATCATTGTTTAAGGAGCATCCATTAAACACATGTACTTGCTTTACATTCATTTTCTTATTTTCTCCTCACAACAGTACTATAATGTAGATACTGTTCACTGAGGAAAACATGCCGACGCCAAAATAATTGTGTTTATATTTGCTCTTATATTTGCAAACTAGGGAGTACAAATTCAGGTGTTAGTTCAGTGTCTCGCTGGGGTCTTTGTTTACAGGGGTTTTAAGGGAAAAAATGAGGGACTGTAGAGGCTGTTTGTCGAGAACTAGGATGGATTATAGATTATATTCCATAGAATCCACTGGCTTTAATCAAACTGGCTTTGGTTACTATGCAGAGAAGAAAAAGAAAAATTATGTTTGCACAGTTTTCAGGAAAGAAATGTCGATCTGGAAACTGGTTCTTGTCAGTCAGTAAATAGTTTCAGGATTTTTTTTTTTTTTAGATTAAAAATTCAGTATGATGGAGGCTGATGCACGAGATGGAGTCAGTTCAGATAAACCCCAGCCTGAACATCCATTTTCACAACGCTATAATTATCTCTAAAGGACAGACCAAATCTTCACAGACTCAAAATAGTACACTTAGGAAGAATGCCAGAACTTTCTAATTTGCAACGTCTTACCTATAACTTCTGTTTAATTTCATTTGGTACAAACCTTTATTTCTAAACCACTGGACTAGCTACCTACCTGCTCTCTTATCCTCTTATCCTACATTTGATTGATTTGGCACTGTGTTATACAGGTATCCCTTAAGAGTTGGCTATACCCCACTTCCTTCTCTACCACTTCACTCTAATGAAACGCCTACATTCCTATCAGTTTTCACTAGCCTAAAGAGAGCTGAAGAGTACTTCTACCTTTACAATGAAAAGCACAAATAGCATTCAGCGTGTTATGTGACACTAAAACAGCAGCAACATGAAGCAGCAGTGAGAATGGCACTGCCAATTCATTCCCAGGACCACTTTATATAGACTTCATAGGTTTCCATCCTGTCATTCCTGCTTTTACTAAATGACAGTTTCATTTTAGGTTTTATGTGTTGTTTGGTATAATTTGATAGGTAATTTTGGGGGTCTAGGAACACTCAGCAGTTTCTCCATGTATTATTGATAGTTGCTTTGCTTAATACCATTTCAGTTGAAAAGAAGTTTCACAAAAACACTCTATTTTGGGTAGCAGGGAAAACCTATACACACACATACTATAAAGTGAGCTATTCTAGAGACTTATCATTGCAAGGGTCTGGAGTCTACAACTAGAAACACTATTCTGGCTTTGTAGCAAAATAGTAGAATTGTGAATACTTTAATACTTATGACTCTTTCATAATGTCAGTCATATTTTCAGATTTTTTTTTTCCCCCTAAAGGGGAGATGTACTTTGGCACATTTAATCTTGAGAAGTCATTGAATACAACACTATCAAATATTTACTTAGAGTAAATAAAATCTATAATTATGATTCTGCAATACATGAGTGAATTTTCTGCTGCAAAAGCATTTCTTCAGGCATTCTTTTGACTTGGCACCACTGAATGACTTTTGGCTCAGTGAAGCCATAATTCTTGGTCACTTGATGATCATTTGCACACAGCTAATTATTTCATAGAACCATCACTACTCCATAATAATAGAAACATAGTTGGAGAAATACTTGGTGAGCAGGAAAAATGAGCTAAAAAACCCAAGATTCATATACTAAGTGAATGTTAGTCTTCTCATACTTCTGAATCTGTAGATGTTAGGAATTGAAAATGTTCAAGTCTAGAAAGTAAATGAAAGCAAATGCTTCATTTGGGTACAAGATAGTACCCCTGACTCAAGTGAGAATTGTTTTTTTTTTTTTCATTTGCATCTTGGATTGAGGCTCAAGATTGATAAATTTGGTAAGTGTAGGTTGAGGTGTGAGTGCACACGTCTAAGGAAAAGCTAGTTAACAGATCTGTAGAAATTTTGTTGAAAGATTTTTTTTCAGGGGAGTCTGAATTTCCTGTTGTTAGTACTATTGATTCCATAAGCACACACTACTCATCAAGTGTTGGGCCCCACCTGACTTTTGACTCCTGTATATACACAAGTGTGTGCAGGATAAATTGCCACTGGGTTTTCTTTAAATATTTGCAGTAAAATAGATGTCTTAATTTCAGATCATATTCATATCCTTTATTAAGACAAGGGAATTATCATTCTTATGCATTTTTCTATTTCCCTTCTATATGTATGTTATTTTTACTTTGTTGATTTAAAAACATTAATGTTCTCTCTGTAATCCTAATTTCAATGTTTACTTTAAGTTTTATACATAAATGTTAACATTTTTTTTAACCATATCCCATCTTTTTTAGGGGATTAAAAATTGTATGTTCAGGTTGGCTAATATATACTTCTATATTTTAAAAGCTCATGTTTATATGTTTGCTTGTTTAGTGCCTTTGCCCTAATTTTATATTTGTATTACATCTTGGTTGGTATAAAATTTTCTAGTTAGCCTGTCTTTCCCTAAGAACAATGCAGATATTGCTTCACTGTGGCACTTACTGGTGTTCAAGTGTATTACCAAGAACACTTCCTTTCATTTTCCGTTGTTTAAAATAATTGAGCAATATTTTTGAAGACTGCCCAGTTGCTACAGACCTTCAGTTCTTGCATGGTGGATATTGTCTAGCTATTGCCTTATAAAGAGTATGCATTATTTTAAAAATTGATTTACTTATGTGCAGAGATTTGTGTATTAGCTTAACACCTATGCCTCCAAGACTTTGCAGCTGCTTTTTAAACAATGAACACAGTAATCAAATAATGCCAATAAAGCTTAGGATTAGAATGTTATTAGACATTATTGAATACACCCACCTTATTAAATGCACCTGCAGTTTTACATGCTCAAGTTAGAAAACCTGTCATATTAAAAATAAAAATACTCTTTGAATTTTAATAGGTATTACAGAATTATGTGACAATGTTTCTTTGTAATTCTGATAATTACCACCTTTCATCTAAAGGGCAAGCCAACACCTTTTAAAAGAGCTGATTACAAATATTGAGCTATTTATATAGAGCGCGATAAAAATTCCAAGCATTTAAGTTTCATTGAACCTTAGCAATCCTCAAATAAAACATCTTAAGGTAAAAATAAAGGCTTAATCTTTACATTATATAATACATTGAGTATATCTCCAATGTTTTATTATTGGTATTAGTTAAGTAAACTTGTATGTGTACCTTTGGGAAAATTGCCTTTGTTATGTTTCCAGAAAATTGCTGATATTACCTTCCCATCAACAGGTAAGAATGGCAAATCACTTTTCCATGCAATATTTGCCTAGTGTGTGATGGTACTATTTTGGGCACCAGGAAAGGAAATGAATTAAAAAGGGCATATTTCTACTCAAGGATAAACAGAAAGGGGAAAAAAGCTTGCCAATTTTAACTCTTTTACACTGCTGGTGGGAATGTAAACTATTAAGCGATTATAGAAAGCTATGTGGAGTTTCCTCTAAACACTAGAAATTGCTCTGCCATATGACCTAGCTATTCCAGTCCTAGGAGTCTAGCCAAAGAACACAAAAAAAGGTTTCCTTGAAAGGAAACCTGCACTCCTATGTTTATTGCGGCACTATTCACAATAGCCAAGAAATGGAAACTACCTAAATGCAGATGAATGGATCAAGAAGATAGGGTATACACAGTGGACTACTACTCAGCTATCAAAAATGATAAACTCATGTCATTTGTGGCAACATGGATGGAGCTGGAAGGGTGAAATGTCAGAAGGAAAAAGGTAAATATCAAATGTTTTCACTTATGTGACTATAGAAAAAGCAAAGGGTATATAGAATAAAACAAAGGGAATATAGAAAAAACAAAGAGTCAAAGGCAAACCTTAAAAGCTGACCATAGATATAAGGCATTCAGGAGGGGAGGAGAAGGAGGAAGAGCACAAGGGAATACAGTGATGAACTATGGGTGCTTTCATGGTGGGAGAACTACAGCAACCACACCTGAGAGAAATCATGTGTTGTCCAAAGATTAACAATGATGTAAGAAAATAGTACATTTAAAAATTAAAAAAATAAAAAGCTTGCCAATTTTGCACAGTACTACTGCTTCCACCACTTGCTTGCTATCCTTGCTATTTAATTCCAATTCTTACCCTGAAGCATTTGATAGCAATTTAAAGCAAAATGAAGCACAACTACAGCAAGCACGTATATTCTAATTAACTTTTTTTCCCCAAGATTTATTTATGCATACAAGAACTGGGGTACAGGCCAGAAGTGCAGAGTGAGAGGATTCACCAGAGACAGAGTAGGGAACAGAAAAGGCAGACTGACTGAAATACACTGCTGAGGGGAGCAGTGGCTGAAGTCAGGAGAGGTCTGCTGCACCATGTGGGTTGCTCCCTGGCTGGGGATCGAATTCCTGCTGCAGTGGCTACTGACAGCTTCATAGTGTGGTGCTTAACCCCTTGCACCACCAGGGAGGCCCCTAATTAAATTTAAAAATTTTTTTTGGCGGGACCCTCGCCGGTGGCCGGGGATTGAACTGGTGCTGCAGAGGCTGCAGGCAGCATCGCAACCCAGCGCTCAACCGCTGCGCCACCAGGGGAGGCCCTTTATTTTTTTTAACCTCTGAGAGTTAAGCAAGATGATGCATCTAAAGTACACTGTTTGACAACACAGTCTTTCTGAGGTAGATACTATTTATTTTTTCTCATATTACAAGTGAGGAATCTGGGGCCTGGAGATGAAAAATAACTTCCTTAATATATAGAAAACAGCAGCACAAGACGTTGAACTCTGACTCCAAAGTCTTGACTCTTAAAAGCAATTCTAGTTTTTCTTCTATTCTCATTAATGTCAACCCATACTTAAATGCTGCAGTACACACACAGTATTTTTTTCTCTAGTTGGCATTTATCAACCTTCCTGAATTTTAGATCTAATGTCATTAACAAAAACATAAAAGCAAGGTAGAGTTACTCAATTACAAAGTCAACATTTTGAATGCAGTACAAAAGTTAATTTAATCATCAATACTCATATAACTCAAACACAACTGTGTACTTTATTTATGAAATGTAGTAACACAATAATTTAGTTGTAACAAAACCATTAACAAATAAAAACAAAGCTAATTAAGAGGCATTGCTTCAGCTCAAATCAGTTCTCTCCTTTAAACTAAAAAGTTTAAACTAGTGAGCAATAAAAATCATGCCCTTAAAGCAACTCAAAAGTAAGAAATTAAATATGATAAATATCTTTCCTCTTATCCTGGGGAAAGGGAAAGCACCTATTCATTTCTCATTGTTTTTATCCATTTTTGATTGCCCTTATTAGAGCTTAACAAACACCAGATATTGAAAGTTACACAAACATGCTACCCAAATTGAAATTCTTTACATTTAGAAAACTCTTATGCCTCACATTTTAAGTTTGCATAGATGTTTACATCAGCTATTTAACTAAGAAGTCAATAAAATGTATTAGAAAGCATTTTATTAATAACAATTGTTATAAAACAATATTTACTTCATGTACCATTAACTTTTTGGTGCAGATAGGAATATTTGAGTATTTCCCTATCTCTCAAACTGTCAGAATTCTTCTTATAAGATCAGTATCTTCAAAGCTAGAATCTGAACAAAATTTTCCTTTAGGAATGCATACATAGAACACTTCCTCTATAACTGCACTATATATTCTTGATAAATCCCTACTGGGAAGTTCAGTAGTGACTGCAGGCATTTATCTTTAAAACCACCTTTCCTCATTTTTCAGGGTTGGGAACCAATCACATTAGGTATGGAAAATAACTCTTCCTTAAGAATACATAAATTTAAAGAGGTTCCTCAGCTTCAGAAAAACCCATTTCTTTAGTTCCTTTTGTCAGGATTCCATGTCAATCTCAACCACTTCATTCTTGCCCTGGAGCGTTGGTTTTGTCAGGTTATCTTCATTTATGTCTTCAATGTCTGCCAGATCCAGAGGTGGTAAAGGATTCCTCCAGTACTGGAAGGTGTTATACTGCCAAAATTCTTCATTGAGCTTTAGGGGTGGGGGAAAGAGATGAAAGTACATCAGTAGTATAGAAAAAACTGGTTTTTTTTTTCCTCTCAAGAAGTTTTTTAAAAATAAACTCACTTAAGATTTTGTAGTCTTTTACTTTTCATCATCAATAAATACATTTTTAATTGTGCTTAATCAGTTATTTGGATTCAATCAAATGTTCATATTTTTCATATTCATTAAATTGCATATTTCTTGTAAGTAGTTTAAATTTAAAAAAATTTTTCCGAGCATCTCGTTCCACAAATTGTTCCTATTTTCAACTAAAGAAAGAGCCTTTGGCTATTTTGTTTATTTTCAATCCCAAAACAATTTTATTTATTTATTTTTAAGTAGAAAAACTAAAAGCACACATACATACTAATTTTTTTGGTTTTTTCCTTGAGTTTTAGTACTTTCAGGGATTAATTTTACATTTTAACAACCTTTCATAAAATATTAAAGTATAAATATGGCAAGTAGCAAGACTAAAACACATAACTAACTTTAAAATCTAACAAAATCCATAAATCTGAGTACCAGCACCTTAACAATTCAACAGCTTGTTCTGAATAACTATAAAATTGTTTTAAGTAATTATGAAGTGAAGCTGATGTCCCAATGAAATGCAAAGCTAACAATAATTTCTAAAGCTTCAAAAATACCTGTGCAAAAGACCAGCATTGGGATTACATACAGGCGCTTCCACAATAATCATTTTGGAGGGTAACACGCCTCCCAGATGGATGTTTATATATCTATTCTACTATGTTGTGCTCCTACTTTAGGTTCATACTTGCTATGCCAGTACTTTCCAACAGAAAGCTAACAGGAGCCACTTGTAATTTCAAATTTTCCAGTAATCAAAATAAAGAGATGAAATTAATCTGAACATCCTATTTGACCAAATATGTAAAAAATTGTATTTCAACATGCAGTCAATATTTTTAAAAAGTAATGAGAGATATTTTACATTCTTCTTGTCATACTAAGTTTCAAAATCTGGCAACTGCCAGTACTACCCACACCTGCCAATGCTCAAGTTGCAGTGTTACTTTACTGCAAAGCACAGATCTATAATGAATAAAGTTTATTCAGTGTCTTAGGCACTAAGATATTAAGAATAAATAATCTTTAATACTGGGATAAAAATGTATTTCAAATGATGCCAAGAAAACTTTCACTTTCATAAGTAAAATTGTAACAGGGTGGTCCCCAGGAAATGGGGAGGTTCCAGGTTCCCTGCTCAGCTCCACCCTCCTTCTTGGGTGGGGCAGGGAACCTGGAACCTCCCCCTCTTACAATATCAAGTTAAAAACAAGGATCTGTTTTTATGCCTTCGGAAAAAATTGGTTAGTCCAGTATAAATATGGGCCAAAAAAACCTCCCTTAATGACACCAATGTAATCTGGTAGCTAAGATCACAAACAGCCACCATAAAGACTTGGTTTACATGATAACGCTACCACCCAACTCTACTCTTGATCTGTTTCCTTTTTAGTAAAATGCAGGACTGTAGTGCAAATTAAACTTTAATATATTGCTCAATATTGCTAGTTATTATAGCCCAAGAAGTCTATAAATCATTTTCTTTCCAGTAACAGAAACACATTCTACCTACCTTCTATTAAATATATCGAAATGTCAGCACTGACTAGTGGCACTAACTTGAGAAAATAACGTATTTAATGAATATCTGGTTTTCCAGAAAACATCTGAAACAATTCAGGAAATATTCTGAGGTTCTAGGACTGAAAAGAGGTAGCATTATTCTATCTAGATTTCATCATAGAAAGGAGTTATTTGACAAATGTTTTTCCTGCATGAGATCCCAAAGGTGAGAGCATGAATTAAAGTTTTATAAGAAGGGCAAAAGCAACCAGGTAGACAATTACTGCATGAATTTAAAAAGCTTTTTAACTTCGACATGCATGTTTTTGTTGTAACCCATAGTAATGAACTGTAAAACATGTGAACAAAAACCTGTGTCTATAAAGCAGGAAGGAGGGAAGCTGCAGAAACCATGTTTAACTCTGGTTTGCAGGAGAGAAGCAGCTCATGAAACAGACCTGATAAAAGGAACATGAGAGTTCCTGGGCTTTTGCCAAGTAAACAGAATGGGGGACTAGTCTTGGTGTGGGACAACCCCTAGTACTTGCTATTCCCTTGTCTTGGGCTTAAAGTGACTACAGGAAGCAGAAAGGTTCCAGACCAGGAGTCGCTGCTATAATGTAAGAGATGTGTGTGTCTGTAAGATTCTAGGCAGGCACTTTTACCAGCCTACTAAGAAAACTCTTCTTTGAGTAGCTGCCATTTCCATATTTCCCTCTTATCAATGTGCAACATATCGCAGCAGTAGGGAAGCCAAGGACATATATGGGTGGCATATGAAAAATGACCTGAAAAAGAAAGGTTTTCAGAGTACCCAGTATGGAAAGGACAGGTGTGAGAGACAGGATAGAGTCAAGAAGCTACCAAATCACTAGCAGTAGGCACTAGTGGAAAGACACCCCCCCACCCACCCCTAGAATTGTGGAGCTGCATACCCCTACCACTAATAGCCTGCAATGTTCCTGTTAAGATCTTTGCTAGGATGCTAGAGGGCTAGTGGTGTATTTTTAGTTTATCCCAGGTCTACCTACCACCTAATTGGAAGAGAGACCACAAACCAGAAGATTAGAGGGAGGAAGAGACCTGGCAAAAGTTCTACAGCCTTCAAAACCCAGGTAAGAAGCCTCTTCTCTTAAAAGTGGCACCCCTAGTGTTGTCTCTAGTTTTTTCGCTTTAAGTAAACTACACTGCTCCAACTGTTACCCAATGTCTTGAGTTTTCACTACATTCCTGAGTGGGAAACTCAAGAGCCCACCTGTGTGCACTGCTTACCCCAGTAACTACTTATCTTGGTATCAAGTAAGTCTGGATGACTATTATTCTCTTTTAAGTCGATTTTAAACCTCTAAATGCAATCTGAAGAAGAAAGTCTAAGTAAGGTTCATGCTTTCTAATTTCTAAATTGGAAGTATTATAAACTACTTACAATTTATAATTTCACCCAGAAATGCTCAACATGATGAAGTCTAATTTCTCAGAACCACAGGAAAATCTTTCCCAACGGTAGCATTCTCACTTTTTTAACTCGGATTTTTATTAACAAAAAAGCCATGACAAAGAATCCTTAATTTTGGCAATGGGAAGCCAGTGCAAGATACTATGGAGAAATGTGGGGTGGACACTATCCTGTAGTGACTGAAGTTTGGTGAATTCTGAGCCCCACATTTGATTCTTCCATCCCCAAATCTCTTACTAAGTCAACCCAGAACTGCCAAAACACAGTTTGAATTTCTGAGTCTAGACCAAAGCTGTCCAATAAACATGTAGCGAGTCACAATCCTAAGTTTTCTATTGGGCATACTTAAAAAAGTGAAAGAAGGTACAGTTAATTTTACAATTTTATTGAAGTCTGTATCTCCAAATTATTTTAACGTGTAATCCACATAAACATTTCTGGAGATTTTTTTTCCAACTCCAGCGTGTATCTCACACTTAACGTACATCTTAATCTGGTCTAGTCACCTTTCAAGTGTTCACTTGTTTCACATGGCAGGCTTAGCTCTCATGTGCAAAACAATCATTTCCCGAGGAGGAACATCATCCATGCTTTACCTTAGGACCCAAATTAATTTTCAACAACGACCCTTTGCCACTGGATCTGAGCTAATACTTTCACTTCAACTGCTGCAACACTGCCTTTCCCCAAGATATAGGAGGTGCTCCTCTTCACCAAAGACCTGTGCCCTGCCCAAGTGACTTCCACCTGATGGCTACCACACTGGTCGCACTCTCCAGAAAGAGAAATCTACCACGAATTCGGGGTGAGGGGAGGGAGGGTGAATCACGGTCCAACCAAGGAAAGCGCGCTACAACTTTCTCTGACGTTCGTCGGTTGCTGAGCCCACAGCGGTTCCCAGTCAACGTCTTCACTGATCTACACGGGGCCGTGACCCTCACCCCTCTTCACCCCTCTTCCTTAGCTTCCCTCCAGCTTTAAGACCTCATCCTAAGGTCTGTCCCCCTAGTGCAGCCAAGTGCTACGGAAGCTCCCCCCAAAGCTGCCAAGGGTGGCCTGGGGGCTGGCGTCTGTTTCTGCAGCCGGAACCCCAGCTTTCGCCTTCGGGGACTTCCAGACCAACACGAGTCCACAGGGGGACGATTTGTTCCTTCCCGGGGCGCGCAGTGCCCGGGACAAACGTGACCCTCCCCCCCTGACCCCGCCAGTCCTGCAGATCGCCCCGCCCGCCGCCGGCCCCTACCTGGCGCTGTGAGGGCCCCCAGTCTCCCCGCGGGGGCTCTGCGCGCCCCGCCCCGTCGTCGCCACCTCCCCTCGGGGGCTGGGCGCCCCGGGGCTCCTCCCTGGTTCCGGGGGCCGCCCTGGCGGCGGCTGCAGCGGCGGCTCGCCCGTCTCCAGGCCGCTGCTCTCACGCTCCGCGCCCCGGTGAGCGCCCGTGTCCCCGCCGTCGCGGCGCTTGCTGGGTGAAGTCAAAGGCTCGGCCATGGCCCCCGCGTCGATTTTGCGCTTTCGGGGCTGCTCCGGGACGCCGAGGGGCTGCCCGGGGGGAGAAGCCACCGGCGGCGGGATCCAGAGCGGCGGCGGCGGCTCCTCCGGGAAGTCGCAGAGCAGGAGCCGCTTCCACGGCACGTGGAACGTCAGCGGTTCGGCCGCACGCCGCTTGGCCATGGGCCCCGGAGACTCGGGCGGAGCCCGCCCGGCGCGGGAGGCCGAGCGCGGGGACCTGCGAGGGCGGAGGGCGGAGCGCGCCAGGGAGGGCGAGGACCAGGTCGGGGGCCCGGCGGCCGCGGGAAGGTGAGGGGGGCGGGGCGGCGGGGCGGCGGGGCGGGCGGAGTCCTCGCGGGGTGCCTCGGCCTCCGCCGGAGTGGGACCGGACGTTGGGGAGCAACCGCGAAGCTGCGGAGATTCGAACCTGCGCACAAGTGTGCGCGCGCGCACTCGCGCGGGGCAAGCGGAGCCGCTGATTGGTGGAGGCTCGCCGGGCGCGCTCCCGAGCGCCCCCGCGGCCGGAAGTGCGCCTCCCGGGGGGCGGTGGGAAGGCAGAGGCGGGTTTATTAAAGGTCTGGTCGGGCTGCTCGCGGATAGCGAGGAGATGCGCGCCCTGAGGAGCCCCTGGGGTTATGCAAAGTTGGAGTTCGGGAAAGCGGTGGTTTAAGCTCCTAAAAGTGTATGTGTTAACATTTTCTTCAAGTGCTGGGGCGACTGGGGCTTCTCCAGAGGACTGACATAGGATTGCACAAACTTTTTTTTTTGCAAAAGTATTTTTTTTATTTTTTTAAGATTTTATACTTTTTTTTTTTTTTGGTTTTTTTTTTTTTAAGATTTATTTATTTATTATTTATACAAGCACTGGGTACAGTCAGAAGCGCGGGAGGGTGAGAGAATTCACAAGAGCCAGAGCGGAGAGCAGAGCAGGCAGAAGGACCGAAGTACACTGCTGAGGGGAGCAGCGGGCGGCAGGAGAGGTCTGCGCGCCATGTGGGACCCTCTTCTGGTGGCCGGGAAGCAGCCGGGGATCGAACCGGTGCCACAGAGGCCGCGGGCAGCTTCGCAACCCAGCGCTCAACCGCTGGTCCACCAGGGAGGCCCAGATTTTATACTTTTTAAAAAAACTTTTATTTGCTTCCGCCCATCCCCTCAGATTGAGTCCCCATAGAAAATTTCCTTCTCTAAGGCACCTGTGCACCATCACTTCAGTCCTTTGTGCTCCTCCCTCCCTCCCTCTGAGGAGGTTTATGTCTCTGGTTTATAACTGTCTGTTTATGCATTGTTGTGTTTTGTACTGTTTATTGTTTTTTTTTTTTTTACACTGATGTCTGATTTGGTTCCCCTATATTCCTGTTATAAGTGGAACCATCCGATATTTTTCTTTTTCCTTATGGTTTATTTCACTGAGCACAATTCCTTCTAGCTCCATCCATGTTGCCGCGAATGGCATGAGTTTATCTTTTTTGATTGCTGAATAATATTCCATTGAGGATCACACAAACTTTTAATAAGCTAGTGTTACAAGAATCAGGCACTATGTAAAGTGATTATTCGAGACAGGATGAAGGAAGTAGCGAAACCTAACACGCAAAATCACAAAAAGCCAAGGAAGCATATGTTTTGCTCAGGTTGCTGTGAATAGTGAAGTAGGGTCCACGTTTCGCAAAGGTTTTTTGATTAAAAATTCGTTGATGAAGTTGCAGAGACTTCCTGCTCATCCCGGATAGCTGAGTAGTTTGTGGAGCCAGGTTTGGCGCACAGTTTGTTTCTTTTACAACTGAAACCTATAATTAGCTCTTAAATTTTGTGGGAAGCACAGGGCCCTTGCTGCTTTGTCCTGTGGCCAAAAGTGAGATTCCAAGACCTTTCTGACAGCAGAATTGTGTTTGCTGTAAGGCAAAATGAGAAGGAACAAGGGCAGTGCGCTTAGTACCACTTTCATTTTAATGGTATGATAAACACAGTAAATAATGTGAGGAAAGTTATACCATAAAAATAGTGCTTTGAAGGGAGAAAAGCGTGGAAGGAACAGAGTTGTAACTTAACTGGTAAGGTACTGCGTGTATATTAATTACCCCAGGCCCCTACACATCTCAAGGTCACTGTGAGAGAATAGGGCAGCTACTTAGTATGCACAAAAATGTAACAAGTTAGGACAGTAAATAATAGCTCTTTTGTTTGATTTTTCCAACAATCTAATGAAATTGGATTTCCAATGAAAGTGACAACCCATTTGTCTCAAACAAATGAAGAGTTTGCTCTTTTCAAACCAGCAACACAAATAATTGTTCTTATTGATTGCTGAGAAAGGAATGTTAAAATCTCCAACTATGATGATGGACTTTTCTGTTTTTCTTTGAGTCCATTAATTTCTATTTATGTATTTTTAATCTCTTATTAGACACACATTATGATTGCTATATCTTTGATGTGTCAACACTTAATCCTTAGAAACTACCCCTCTTTATCTCTGGTAATGCACTTTGAAGTTGTCTTAATTTGATATTAATATACTTGTCCCCAGCCCTCTTATTTTATTGTTTGCATATTGTATCTTTTCCCCCTTGCTTTAAACCTGTCTATCTTTATACTTAATGTGTTTTTTTGAAACAACATATATGGTTGGGTCTTGCTTTTTCTGCATTCTATTCTTGGAATGTTTAATGAGTTAACATTTGATGTAAATTATTGACATGACTAGATTTAGGTCTACTCTTACTATTTATTTTCTATTTGTTTCCTTTCTCATTACTCTTATACCTGCTTTTCTGATTTCTTTTGGATTGAGTTTTGTTTTAAATTTCTTTTCATTTAATTTTAATTCAATTAATTTCTCTCATACCTTATCTGTTGCTAATCTCACATATTTTTTATCCCAATGTACATTTAATTTCTAGAAGTTCAATGTGGCTCTTATAAATTTATATACCTTTTAAAATATATGGAATAGTTATGCTATTGTAATGTACTTCTTTGTAATTCTAACACAGATGTTAGTTCTTTTGGTTTCATTACTCTTTCTCCTCTGTAGGTTTTCTTCTTTCTGTGCCCATGTGGTAAATTTTTATTTTTATTGGATAGGAGATATTGTGATCAATACTCTGCAAATTATTCCAGGGGGATCACCCTCAGATCTCCGGGGTTCTCTCTGTGTGCAGCTCTCTCTTGTCTGTTCTGTAAACTCTAGCTGCCCTGGTGTCCCTGGACTATCAACTAAGTCAGGCATTCTTCCAGGCTTTTCCCAGTTTTCCTTCATAATGCCATGTCCTGCCTGGAAACACTGAAGGCAGTGAATAGGGCTCACTTATTTCTTGTTTTCAGTGATATCTTTCCTTTATTGGCTGACCTTCAGTGTTATGAAAACTGTTCTTTTACATATTATGCTGGGTTTTGTTTGGTTGTGTTAGGTGAGCAGGTTACTCTGGGCCCTTGACTGCAAGAAAATGCCTTTCAATTTAAGGTTTTACTTCAACTTCAAGGGCATATTGTTGTCTAACTTTTAACTTTGAGATATGACTGTTTCCTTGTCTATTGTAGGAAATTGAATTCATTATATGTTAAATCAAACTTCAATCTATTCATTCACCTTTTTGTATTCAAATCACTGATATGCCTGATTTTACATAATGAATTTAACTAGTATAAAGAAAATCATATACATTTTCTTAGAGAATGAAAAAAACCCATTTTCCTCTGTATTAAAGTTCAAATAAATGGTGATTAAAGCAGGAACACAAAAAAATGAAATGAAGAGTCTTAATTATGGGAGGATACGGTTATCATTAGTCAACAGAGTGGGATACTGGGGAGGATGGGTGGAGGGCACATGGGACACCTCTTTGGGCCACCTCAGATAATCTTGGTATCCTGTGTGTTACAAGTTTCTTGATGCTAGGCCAACTTGGATGCACACAAGGGAGTGAAGAGGGCTGTGTACACTCCCAAAACTTAATGGCTAAAACTAAACATTTTCTTAGATTTATGGATCAGGAATTTAACATCGGTTAACTGGGTGGTTCAGGGTTGCTGTGGTTGCAGTGAAGATATTGCTCATGTGGTTGCAGTGAAGATATTGGCTGAAGTTTAATCATGCAAAGGCTTCATTGGTGATGCTGAGGGCCCATGTCCAAACTCATTCACTTCTTATGAATGGTAACTCCATAGGGATATTTGAATTTTCTAATTACATGTCATCTGGTTTCTCCCAAATGCAAGGAATCTAAGAGAAGAATGGTAGCTGCAATGTCTATTATAGACTTACCTTGGAAATCACATATTTCCACCACAGTGTATTCGTTACAAGTGAGTCACCACAGCCCACACTTTAAAGGGAGGGAAGTGAGATTGTAGCATTGGAAGGAGTCTCAAAGAATTTGTGAATACATTTTTTTAAAGCACCATGCATCAGAAATTATAAACATGAAGATAAATATAAAAGTCATTGTTACTTGTCCTGCTTTAAAAGAATTCAGTCTAAAGCAAAAATAGTAACAGTGTATTCTGGGGATTATTATGACAATGGCCTAAATGATGGAAGAGCTGAAATGGAAATACATTTTAAGTTCTTGAAACTATTCCTCAGTGAGATATATATGTTCTTCATTCTGAGTACTTTCTTTTCTCCCCAAATGAATAAGATCTGTGGAGATCTACAAGTTCACCCACTTGAGTATTTCTTAACAGAAAAAGTCCCTCCACTAACTACCAGCCAGCTGGCACTTGGCATTTAGCAGAGGTGGGCTGAGAGGAAAGTAGAGGATAGTTGTCTAGCCTGGGGTATCCTTCATGAGGCATCTCTAAGGTAAGGGGGCTCATCTTTGGCTTACTTAACCTCTCTGAATCCCAAGTTAGGAGTGGCCAGGAGAGCTGGGGTGAGGTGGGTCTCCTCAAGTTGATGGCCAAAAAGGGAAGGAAGCTGTCAGGTAGGTGGGTTGGTCAGTCAGTCTGTCAGTTAGTTCTGATTAAGTTGGGTGCATCCCTGCTGAGATCTTGATTTTTCACCTGCTGGGAAGCCCACCTTGAGTGGTGTATTTTGAAGGTAGCTCGTGATGAAGATTTAAATTTTAAGCCCTAGGGAAATCACTAAAACTGTCAATAAGAAACTTTAAAGAAAAAAATAGTTAAAAGGATGAAAAAAGTGCATGCAAAAACTTGTAAACTCCACACAAGATCTATAGTTTAGTATCATGGTAATGTCAGTTTTGTGGTTTGATCACTGTTAGTTACTTAAAATGTTATTTCTGGGGTAAATTGGATGGAGGGTACACAGGAATTTTCTATGTAACTTCTGATGTATTCTGCCAGCCTATTACATAGGCTAACTTACTCTCTTGTAAACAGGGTAAAATAAAATCCCAGACTCCTCAGTTTTGATACTAAAGATGGGAGGCTGACACACATGGCTTTCCAGGTTGGAAGAACAAGGCCCTGCAGCCCAATTCAGAAGAGACTCCCTAGGACCCAGTAGCAACTCTTGCCCAAATGATAAATAGGGTAGTGAAGTAATGAGTTCCCTACTTTCTTAATGATGCTCAGCAGCTATAGCTAGGACTCAAGTAATTCACCCAAATGGTACCTTGAATTTTGCTCTCTCTTCTATGCAAGAGAAAGGATATTACCACAGTAGAGCAGCGAGTCCAGTGGCCCTAGCTGAAAGGCAGTGTGGCTGTGGCTGAGGCAAGCAATCCCAAAACTGAATCACGGTAACCAGCAATGGGAACTTTGCTATTCAATATAGAGTTTTGGGGGGACCTGAAAACAGATCATTTGGTTGAACTAAGTGCAGGTGGCCACTCAGTTAAAGTGAAGGAAAAGCCTTGCCTTGTGTAAACACATGGTGGTTCCCACAGCTCAGCCTAGCTATCATGAGGTCTGGGCTCTTGTACCAAGGCAGCTGAAGCTGGAAGACTGGGCTAGACCACAGTGGCATGTGTAAGAGCAGAGTAAGGCCCTGGAGGTTGGGTGCTCACTGGAAACACATGGGGGAAGCAGCAGCAGCAGTGCTTAGGCATTAACCCTAGAGGCAGAAGTCAGTGTAAAATTTTTTCCTTCCAACCTTGTTCCCATTTTTCCTGGTAAACTCCCAGCTAGGAGTAACTTGGTCTATTGATGGTTGTGTTATAGTTCTAATGCATATGTTAAACTTCTTGGTTTGTGTCCCTATAAAAGGAAAAAGGACCAGAGTTAACTGATAAAGAGTTTGTATAGAGCTTATAGAGGGTAAGGAAAACTGAAGTCATTCGTTCTCATCTGAGAGCTGCAAAAGTGTCAGAATAGCTGATTAAGACAAAAAAGCCAAAAAAGTCCTCCCTGGTGGCCTAGGGGTTAGGGTCCGTACTATCACTATTAAGGCATGAGTTCGATCCCTGACTGGGGAGCTAACCCACATATGGTGCAGCAGACCTCTCCTGTCACATCTGCCACTCCCCTCAGCAGTGTATTTCAGTAAATCCACCTGTTCTGCTCCCCACTCTGTCTCTGGTGAATCCTCTCACCTGCCTCCCACCCCCAACCTCTGGCCTATAAGCCTAGTTCTTTTATGCAAAAAAAAAAAAAAAAAAAAAAAAAAAGGTTCCAGTGATGTCTCTTAACCACTTACAGCTATTAGAAGCAAGAGGCTGAACCAGATCAAGCATGGCTTCCTCCCTGTTCCATTTTCCACTATAAAGCAGCACACAGTGGATCAGCATGGACTCAAAAGTCATTCCACTGCTGAGAGCTCTAAAAAGACTTGTGAAGGTTTGTGGACCCTGGGTTGGAGGTGGAAGGGAAAGGAGTGGAAAAAGTACTGAGTCAGAGTGGAGAAGTTTTTTTAGTTTCTCCTCTTAACCCCATACTCCTCATAAGCAGGTTCACAGAGGTGCCTGATAAAAAGGCCTTCGTGTGGAAGAATGGGCTAGGATCACAGCGCAGTGACTGTGCACTAGTCTGGTTAGGGACGGCAGCTTTCTTCTGTGAGCTTTCCAGGTAAAGCTTTTAATTACCTATATTTGTGCCTAAAAAGTCATACAAAGATTTTTGACTGAGAGACACCTCAAAAAATAAAACCTGTTACCGGGCCTCCCTGGTGGCACAATGGGGTAAGCACCACACTATGAAGCAATCTGCAGCCTCTGCAGCATGAGTTTGATCCCCAGCTGGCCAGAGGGCAACCCACATGGTGCAGCAGACCTCTCCTGTCTCACCCTCTGCTCCCCTCAGCAGTGTATTTCAGTCAGTCTGCCTGTTCTGTTCCCCACTTCTGTCTCTGGTGAATCCTCTCACCACCCCCATCTCTGGCCTGTACCCCAGCTCTTATATGCATAAATAAATTAAAAAAGAAAACAACCTGTTACCAAGGCCCTTTGGACTAATTCAATATATGTGTACTGGAATTGATTTATTATATGTCTACACTTATAGGAATATAAGCATCACATTCAAGGACTACTGTTATGAACTGTCCTCTCCTGGATGTACTAGAAGAGAAACCATAGATGCAAGAATTTAATGGCTAGGTACCACAATAGAACCAATCATCTCACAGTCACCAAATGCACTTTCATATGAAAGAAGGCAGCTATTAACCTATCATAATATAAACTAAATGCAAGACTCATGTGACTCTGGCTTGATAGCCCCTTATGTAGATGGCTTACCATGGACTTAGTAACTAACAAAGTGAAAGGATCCAACAATTCTTTCACATCAAGTGGAAACAGTATATTCACAAACACTAAACTGGCCTGGTCCTAGAAGCTCTGGTGCTATGGAAAATGGCAGTTATACCACTGGGGGTAACAGTGCGCCACATGCCCCTAAACTGGGCCTACATCGCAGATTAAGTTGAAACTTAAATGAGGTCCAATGGGCTGCTGCCTCTATTCAATCTCAGTGCCAGCTATATAAAATCAAAAGCAGATGTAATAATTTCTTTCAATGGACAGAAGTCAAAGCAGTCCTCATGACTCTGCCCAACTTCCTCTTAATGAACCTCACTACATTTTTACTAATGCACGCTTGGGTTGTTGCTAATGGCCTATTTTTCAAGTGAAAGACTACATAGACTGGCAGATTAAACTTATACATTAAACTTATACAAATTGCTTAATTTCTTTGATAAATTAATATTAAAATCAGTTACCACTTTTCCCCATTATATTGACAAAAATGAAAAGATTAGCAGTATATGGCATTTTTTAGGAAATGAATACAGTTATTCTCAAACAATAGTTTCTTTGAAAGGGACTACTGAAAATGCATTACATACCAACTAAATGACCCCACTCCTGTATTAAGAGCTAGGTGAGAAATGTGTACTAAATATTTGTAAAAGTGAGGGTAATTCCCCATCAAAATTTATTTGTGCTCTCTCTCCCATTACTATTATATTTCTTTATAATTCCCATCAAATCTTTGGAATATATATTTACCATATTTGACTTTTTCCCTGCAGAACTCCACTGAAACTTTTCAAAGGGCCACCGTCACAATGAAATAAATGTCCTTTTGTTTTCTATTTTTTCTATCACTGTACAGCACTCAACACAAATTGAAATTATTTAATTTTCTACCATGTCTTTCACATATTCACTGTAATATTTCACATACTAGCTCATATAAGAACCCATAAGAACCTCTTGCAATAGGTGGTATAAATCTCTCTTACAGATGGGGAAACAAACTCTGCATTCCTTGTCAAAATAATAAACAGTAAATAGTTTAGGAAGATGAAACCAGAGTACCTAAGTGCCAAACCAGTGCTTGTTCTATTAATGGCTGTTCATGGAACTCTCTTTTACTTTATCATTGTTTTACTGTTTTCAACAAAACGAAAGATCTGGATTAATATATGCCTATACCAAGAACTAGTATGATTGGCTTTCTAGCATATAAGAGTGGGCTAATCAAAGGACTCAAAAGTAAGTGTTCCACATTGATGGTTACCACTAACTTAGATGGAATCAACAAGCAAATATTATTTCATAGCAATTTGCAGACTTTAATATTCCAGAAAAATTAAGTCCATCATACACATTAAAAATATAGGAAATTTCATGCAGACATGAAGCTTCCAATTCAGCCTTTGTGGCAACTTTTAGAATGAGAATTACATATAAATACAGTACATTTTACAGTTCCCAAACTTCATAATTTTATACTGTGATTTATACAGCTTCTCTTTATAATTTACATGTCCCACCTTGCTCACTTGATTAACAAATCCTTTTCTGAACCACTTCAGATTACTGGAAGGAAAGGGGGGGTGGGGGGAGGAAGCACAATGACCTAGCTCCTCCAGCATTATGAAAGTGAATGACAATGTCTATAAATTTTAAGAAAAATTAAAATTTTAAGAGAAAAAAAACTTTTAAGGCTTCCACCCTTCAGTAGCTAGGACTACATATAAGAAATACAAAATTAAATCCTCCAGTGACACTTCTATTATTGATACCACAATTTTCAAGTTTAGAGTATATGAACTACATAAGCTCCAGGAGAAAAGTGATGCAAATTTGTGTAGAACATTTAAAAATATAGTATCCATGATATGAGGGAGAAATTAAAAACATGAAATAAGTGATCTCAGAATTAACTACAATGTAAGTGATGATTTTAAGTAACATCATTAAGAATAGATGCTGATAGCAAACATTTTAAGAAATGCAGCTAACCCATTGGTCTCAACCTGTTTTGCCTCTATGAGAAAAACAAGATCATTGCTTTGATACAAGCTGGAAAGCAGTGACTACTAGTCAGTGAGTAAAATGCATTTCTAAATTACTCAAAAACAGCATGTATTCTTTTCCTTTCAGTGGGCTTTTTAAATATTTAGGATCCTTTAAAGTTTCTTTCTTAAAAAATAATTTTTCAGTTTTTTTCTTACAATTAATATCAAATTCATTTATGTGGCAGATTATGAGAATTCCTACTAAATGAACATCTGTCAAGATTTTGAGGGACATAAAAACAAGAAATAAGAAAAAAAAAAGTAAATGGAACAGGTTGCAGGTTTCCACAATTTGGCAAATCAAATTAACCTGATGGAGTCCTTCACTTTACAATGGGTCCAAAGGCCACAAGAGTTTCCTCAGTGTATGCAGAAAAGGTCCTATTAGTAAGATGCCAAATTGCACAGGGACTTGCCCTCCCTAACTGACAATAGAGGCATAAAGATTTAAAAGTTTTCCTATTAAATCATGACATTTATGCTACCAGCACATTACTGTCTATCTAATCCAAATTGCCACAGAGGTCATTTAATGCCATCACAATTATCTGTGGAAAAAATTCAACTTGAGTACTTCCTTTTCTCCAAGAGAATGTTAAAACTGATATCAAGTTAGATATCTCTACTTTCCAAGTTACTGGATAAAGAAGGTTAGCATAAACAAATAAAAAGGAAAACTCCTTGTAATAAAGATCTGGTAGAGGTAGAAATCAAAGCAGCATATACTGTTTCAGGTCCAACTATTGGGGAACAAAATTAGTTTATCTGAAGTTACAGTAATGGCTGCTGCTTACAATAATGAAGACACAGACCAGGGCGGTAATTTATCCCTGAATTTCATATTCAAAATTTCCTCACATTAATACCATCATGACAGTTTTTCCTAGTATGTAATTGTTTGAACAAAAAAAGTGCTTGCTTTTGTAATCCAGATAAACTAAAGAAAAAAAAAGTAAACATTTCACTGATAATTTCTGTGTTCTTTTATAGTTTAAAACCATACATTTCAAATGGGTAGGTATTTTTCTCCAGTTTCCTAGCAGTACCTTTAAGAAGGGCTTTGGTGCCTCAGTGAGAATGTTGTGATCTCATACATTTCAAAGTGACCCATGCTTTCAAAAAGTGTTTGGAGTTTAGTATGACCAAAAGTCTAATTTCTCAGCTACTTGAATACATTTGACTAGCCTGTGATCCTATTAAATTTAGTAATTTTTGAGCCTTTAAGTTCAACTGTGCTGGAAAAAAGTAAAATGAAACATTCTGGATGATAAAAGGATAGGAGCATATTGTATATATAGATTAGTTAATTTCAAAGTTAACAAAAGTCCCAATTCCAGATCTTGAATAACAGGATTCTCAGACTTCTAAAAATAACATGTGCAATCATACAAAACAACAAAAAAGGGATTGTTATGGAGTCAATATTATTAGTCATTAGTATGGCAGACTTGCAATGGACAGTTTCATGAAGACACTGGAGATAAAGGTTTTCCTACTGAAAGACAATTCTGGGCTTCAAGGAAAAAGTATATTTGAAGATATTTCCTCCATTTTTACTTGTGTAGTACAAATATGCATGGCATAATATATTTCTGTAAAAGCGATAGACATATTAAGAAAATAGATGCTATTTCTAAATTTTGTTAGGAATAAGAAGGCACCACTGATTTGAGGTTGTGTCCCGTAATTGTAATAGTTGATTTTTGACTTGTTTATTTCAGCATTTGTTCTTATTAAACTTTTTTTCCTGGTGATATCACTTGAGACCATTATTGTGGTTTACGGACTACAAACAAGACACATTCATAGTAGTATTTCATCATGGAGAGATCATTCACAGTATATGTTGACAAGACAGATTCTTTCTCTACCTGCAATGCAAACAATAAGCATAATGATGATGGTGATGATGATGACAAAACCAACAAATACTGAGCACTTACAAGGCGCAGGCACTATTTGAAACATTCTGCATATTTATTCTTTTATTACATACAAAAATTCCCATAAGATTAATAGTATTAATAATCCCACTTTACAAAGAACAGGTTCTAAGTCACTGCTAGTCAGTGAAATAACTGAGATTCACAGGTAGTCTATGAAGTGTAAAATACTATAATCTTGATTCTGAGATACTGTAAGGTACTACTTCATTTTTAAGAATAAATTTGTTGTTTATTTCTAAAATGAATGGGATGCATTTAAATGTACAATAGTCACAGTATGCACATGATAAAAAAGATCGAAGTTTAATATTTCTCTTACACCTTCCTACCCACCTCCATATGTTCCCCAGAACCTAGTCTACTTGGTATCTATCAGTATGTCTTCAAAGGTCAATATTATGATAATGCCCAGAACCATATATTGGAAGATTATTACACCAGAGATTATAGTTTTCACTTTATACACATTGTCCTAAATCCTTATAATTATAAAAGCCAAGTATTATTTTCACTCTATAGATGAGAAAACAGAGGTTAAGAAATAAAGCTAGCAATTGCCATAATATCATCCCTCTTCAAGTGCACTGGAAATTAAATTTTGATCATACTTCATTCTATCCTTACCTCTACCTGGAATCCATATTGCAGAACAACATTTTTTATATCCTCATAGCTCAATTCTATGGAAAGTTCATTTGCCAAATTTTCAAAGTGGTACAGGAGAGGACCTATGGTTTAAAGATACTGTGAATTAATTATTTGAATATAAACAAGTACTAGTAGTTATGTTAGATTGAACCCCAAGTTGAGTAAGTTGGGTAGTGGCTGAAACAAAAATAAAAAGGAGTAAAGAAACTTGTACGTGCCAGTGACATGTTTCCAGTTAACTTTGGCCCAGTAACTGACATTTGAGTGCTGTGGCTACCCACGTGGGAGTGAGTTCTTCTGGTATATCAGCCTTCTCCACATCTTGGGCCTTACACCTGTAACTCTTAAGTTCCTGAAGGAGTAGCTGAAATGGAATGCTCAATCTCCCTACTCCAGAGGTATACTGAAACCATAATGCCATTAGGCAAATGCAAACTGTAGCTACAAACTGGATACCATATCAAAACAGTGAAGGGTCTGCAAGTTGTCTCAGATGGAGAGAATGGGAGGTGGGGAGTTATAGGCAAGACTTTCTTGAAGGAGGAGATAATACTATAAGTGGCTTTTTAAGTGTACAGTTCATATCCCAGCTCTAACATCTACTAATTGTGTGACTAAGGGCAGGTCACTGCTTCATCTGTAACATGACTTTAATGTGAGGTAGTATACAGTACACCTGGCACATATAAAGCACTAAGTAAATAATAGCTATTATAACTGTATGACATTCTCCCTTTATTATGTTTTCATTCTATTTATCCAAAGAACAAGAGCTGACTCAAACCAGATCCTTCAGTCTCTCACATTTTGCCCAATTCATCAACCTCACCTAGGCAACATTATGACTCAACACAGTTAAACATCAGAACTAATCTTAATCTTCTCTTCGTCATTCATTGGGCTAAATTATAAATCCTAGTAGCATCCATCCCAGGTTCTCCAGGGTTAAGAAGTCTTTCGTCTTCTCTTTTTTACCATATATAAATCACTAGGAAAAATTACTATGAATTGATTTGTTAATGTTCTTTCCGAAAGATTCAACAGTGGTTCCTATTGGACTACTCTCTCAAGCTTAAATCCTTGATAGTTTTATAAGCACCAGTAAAATTATAGTGGCTACCATTACTTAGCATCTGTCATGTCCCAGACCACCCCAAAGATGTTAAAGTCTTTTTATAAGAATGCAGAGCCTCAGAGCAAAGTCTTTTCCACTGTAAAGTTTATGCTATTTCTGCTCCACTAAGAGCCTTGAACAGTATAGTTTTATCTCTGTAAACTTATATTCCAATTATTCTCACATATAAGGTCATACTTTACCATCACTCATGTGTTCTACCTGAGAATGCTCCAACTCTAGATCTCAAGCTTTAGCCACACTCCAAAATGTTGCTAAAATCAAGTTTTAATATACTCTATCCAAGTTTCTAGCTCTATTGTACATTCCCGTATATAGCATACTTTAAAACTCTTTTAATGAAATGTTGCAGTACTCAATGATAATTTTTCATGTAACTAGTATTGTTTTCTCACTAGATTACAAACTACATGACTGAAGGAATATATCTTAAGTTACTTTTGAATGCCCAGCACAGTGATGAGTATATAGTTAAGCACCTGAAATTTTACCACCAAAGACAACCATTACAGATGTGGTGTTTTTACAGCGTTCTGTTCAAATTGTATTTCAATCAATACCTCTGCGCATATTTCAGATTTTTCCCTTACAAATACACTCCTTACAGTGGAATTTCCAGGTCAAAGAGAATGAACATTTTTGCCAACATGATTCAAATGGCCAAAATACTTTCTATAGGAGTTATAGGAACATATGTCACCCAGCAATTCCAGTACTAGATATTTATCCAAGAGAAATGAAAACTGTGGCCTCACAAAGATTTGTACTCAAGTATTTATAGAAGTTTATTCAGTCATAATAACAACCACCCAAATGTCTTATCAACCTGTAAATGAATAAACAAATGTACTATTATCCATGCAATGGAATGTTACTCAGCAGAAGCCACTGTACATCCAACAACAGGATGAATTCCAAAAGCATTATACTCGGTGAAGGAAGTGAGACACAAAAACTGTGTATGATTTTGTACAGTCTGCTTACATGATTTTATGGAAAATTATGTGATAGGAAACAGGATAGTGACTGTGAGGTACTGGAAATGAAGAAAGAACTGACTACAAAAGGGGACAAGGGAACTTTTTGCGGTGATAAGAATATTCCCTATCTTGACAGAGGGAGTGGTTTCCCTCTTTCCAGTTTTCAAAAGGCATCAAACCATACACTTAAAAAATGGTGAATTTTATATGTCAAATATACCTCAAAAAATCTTAAAAAGAAAAACTAAATATTTTTTGTTACACAACATTTTTGCTAATTAGAATAAGAGGAAAATGACAGGCCACAGAGTTTGAACCTTGATGCGGAGCAGTTTTTCATATTTATTACCTAATCATTCATCTTTTAAGTGAACATCTACCAAGCACCTAGCCTGGCATTGGATATATAAGGATGAATAAAAATAGGACACGCTCTTCAAGGACTTCTTTATTCCCTCAATTCTCATGTCTCTTTTTATTCTTTTAGTGAACTAACAGGAGGAGGAAAGATGTATTTTTTCCTTGACCACAAGTATAATCCAAGTTCATAGAGAAAACATGAAAAAGCATAAAAATAAAAGCAAACCCATTTCTAATTAATTAATGGGAATATTATGAATTTACCAATATAAATACCACTCTATCCTGTCTCTGGCAGTCAATCTTCTGAGGCATCTTAACATTACTTTGCTCCTTTCAGATTTTAAAACAAACATTCATTTATACATGAGACAGTCTACTAATTGTCAGACTCTAAACCAAATGAGTAAACATTAGATTCTAGTACTCACTGAGCTTAGAGACTAGCAGAGGAAATAAAAATATATAGATGACACCACCCATGTGTTACATGCTGACAGAATCTGTGAAAATGGAAAAGAGGAATACAGAATACTTAACCCAACCTGATAGGATCACTTGAGCCGAGTGTTGAACTAGTTAAATAAAAAGAACTAGTTAAATAAAAATAGAGGGGAGAGAGAAAGGGTTTTCTAGCTCAGGGGACTGACACTTGAAGTCATGAAAAGGGTGGTTTAAAAAAAAAGGAAGCTGAGACATAGAAGAAAGATCACAAAGGGTACTATACACAACCCTAATAAGTTTGGGTGACCAAGCAAGCCATGATTTTAAGCAGGGATTCTGACAGTAAAAGATTTACATGCTGGCATGGTAACAGGGAGACCTGCCAGGGGTGGGGAGGGCTGGAGACAATGGGAAGGCAGGGATATCTTTAATTGGAAACTAGTGCACTAATACAGACAAGCAATGATAAGGGCTCACACTTAGGTACCAGCATGAGGATAGAGTAATAATGGTTCCCAATGAGCAGTGTCTGCATTTTTTGTTGTCACAACTGGGGAGATACTACTAGAATCTAGTGGATAGAGGATGTTGCTAACCATCTTACAAATATAGGACAACTGTCCCAAATGTCAACAGTGCTGTAGTTGAAAATAATTGGAATAACTCCTAGGAATCTATCCAAAGAACACAAAAACATTAACTTACCTATTTACAATAGGTAAGAAAAGGAAACAACCCAAATGCCCAAAAATAGATTGACTAGATCAAGAAAATGTAGTACACAATGGAATACTATTCAGCAATCAAAAAAGATAAACTGATGCCATCTGCAGCAACATGGATGGAGCTGGAAGGGATTATGCTCAGTGAAATAAGCCAGATGGAAAAAGAAAAATACAGATGGTTTCACTTATGGAGGAATAGAGGGGAACTAAATAAGAAAAAATAATAATAATAAAAAAACCACAAAGTGAACAGGCAACTATAAATCAGAGACATTCTGCAGGGGAGGGGTAAGGAGAAGGATCAAAACAGGGGAGGGAAGAGCACAAAGGACTATGGCGATGGTGCATGGGTGAATTGGTGGTTGGAATTTTACGGGGACCACACCTGAAAGGAGAAAGCATACATTGTACAAAAATTAGCAATGATGTAAAATATATATATATATATATATATGAAATTTTTTTTTAAATCCTGGAATAGAAAGAGATTCAAGAGCTATCAAGTTTTAAGAGATAACTTGGGAGACTGGGTATGGTATTGAGGGAAAAGAGGGGTAAAGGAGGATTCCTGGTTTTTGACTGGGGGAATCTAAGTAGATGACAGAACAGAAAAGGCATGGGGAAAGCATGGCATCATTCTGAGATTTTTCTGGATTTTGAAATATCTGTTATACATTCAAACTTTGCTTGGAAGGTAAGAGATATCTGCATGAGATACAGATTGGAAATTGAAAGAGCTGAAGTCATGGCATTGGGTAGGAGTAACATGGACTACAGTATGTGGCATAAAGAATGAATAGATCCTTGGAACATGACAAATATTTTAGGGAAAACTGACTATCTGAAAAATTCATATACCTCATAGCTGTCAACTCAACAACTATCTCAGGAAAACAAATTATTCCAAAGGAATCCCAATACATATAAAGAGATCCAACAAAATTATTTTACCATGAGACAGCAAAACAAAACATACCTTTATTTCTAAATTCTATATCAAATACCACAGTTTATGTAACTAGATTAATAATATGTAGATTTTATTTTATTTTATTTTTTTTTTATTTATTATTTATTTGTTTGTTTGTTTGTTTGCTTTGTTTATACATGCACTGGGTACAGTCAGAAGCGCTGGAGGGTGAGAGAATTCACCAGAGCCAGAGCGGGGAGCAGAGCAGGCAGAAGGACCGAAGTACACTGCTGGGGGGAGCAGCGGGCGGCAGGAGAGGTCTGCGCGCCATGTGGGACCCTCCTCCGGTGGCCGGGGAGCAGCTGGGGATCGAACCAGTGCCGCAGAGGCCGCGGGCAGCTTCACAACCCAGTGCTCAACTGCTGCGCCACCGGGGAGGCCCAATAATATGTAGATTTTAAAGTGGCAAGTATATCTTTACAGTCTTACATATTTTAGTTGGCAAAAGAATTCTGGGGGCAACAGGGAGACTCATTTGAAAAGGATTTTATTTGTAAGGTATTAACCTTTTAAATAACTATTTTTAAGGACGGTGTTTCTCCATTATTACAATTTTCCAAATCCTTGGTAAGAACAATTTAAGTTCCTTTAACAAACCTCCCGTTAACCAATGTGCCCTATCACCTGACACCCATGACAGATCACAAGCTGCACTCATCTGTCGTATGGAATTAGAACTTTACCTCAGTCCTAAGGGCAGTCCTGGTAAGGTAAAATCATTAAAAAAGGGAGCAAGTGAAAAGAACCCAGAAAAAAAAAAGTAGCCCAACCTTGAAAGGAAAGTACTCAAACAATGCATATCTGACTTTTATGTAATATAATAATTCACATCTTGAAAATTTTATATTTTACCCTTGATGCCTTTGTTAACATGGATTTATATACCTTATTAAAACAGATAAGTGTTATTTACCCTGATATTATTATGCCTTTATTCTAAAGAAGAGGATGAAACAGGTAATTTTGCTTAGACTCTGGATGGGAGGGACCATGTCATACTCATCATTTGACTTCTAGCAGCATGTTCCAGTAAAAATTTTGCATTATTTTTTAAACTCAAAGTAGTCACAAGAGTTATCACACCTATTCTTCTAGTACATATATACTCAGGAGGAGGTACCACAGGAGAGTGTTTTCTTGCAAATGTTTCATTATGAAAAGATAAAAAAGAATGCTTTCTTTTTAACAGAACAGACTGCCTTCTTGATGGAGTTGGGTATGGGGGAAAATGAGAAAGTGATTATCAACTTACTAATTAGAACTGAGGAATTATGATTACTGTTAAGGCTGACCTAGTATGAATATACAGATCTTCCTCTGCTTATAGTGAAGTTGTTCCAGATAAATCCACTGTAAATTAAAATCATAAATGGAAAATGCTGACCACATGATGAGAGATTATCACACTGTTTCTACTGAATGCATATTGCTTTCATATTATGGTACAGTAAAAAAATTCATTAGTGACTAAATCGGGGACAACCTGTACAATTTTGGGGACTTCTACTGCTTTTGGAGGAACTAGCTAGGATTGAGGAACTGCACCACTAACTAGGACATAGTGTAAAGGAAACTTAAGAGGTTTTAAAACATGCACAACATAATTATAACTTTCATGAACATTTAGTACTGTGAGGTTACCAAATGTAGATAGATTTAAGTACTCAGATTAATGTATTAAATTCTAATAAGTACTGAGAAACTAACTTACCCAGATTTATCCAAATTCCACCTGGCTTGAGTATTTTCCATATTGTGTCAATATAATCAATTACATTGTGAGCTGTGTCTATGAAGAAACAGGTAGCAATACAGTCCCAGGTATCTATTCAAGGAAAATCAAATTACTGTATTTATCATGTTACCTTGCTTTTTCTTTTAATTAATTCTATTAGTGTACCAGTTACCTCTTACAGAATATGACTATTTCATTTAACTGCAGGGATACAGAAGCTAAACTCTTCTAATTAATGACTGTAATCAAGGTAGTCAAATAATTATTTATGAGCTATGTTATAATTCATTAATGGTTTTATTAATAATCTGATAATTTGGAAATCACTTTGACAACCTATATTACTATGTATCTTCACCAAATGATACTTATAAAATTTTTATATTCTATTCATCTTCTAGCCTTCATTTAAAATCAGTTAAAATGAAATATTAGTTATCTGAATTTCAACTTGTGATTTAAACTAGTGTTTACTACCAATTCTGATGGGCTTCACTTGTTACCATTGGAGAAATAAAAAGCATTGCAACCCCTGGACATCTACCCATATTTTGGATAGTTTCCAGTGAAAAAGACAACAAGGGTAGTCAGAAGCAGTGGGTGGGAACCCAGACGAGACACTATTCAGCTTTTGCAGGATGTGGCCTGGCACAGGGATAGAAACTGGTTTGAGCATAGGTGTCTATAATACAAATGCTGGCTCAATAAAGGTTGACTTTTACCATCTTTTCTCTCAAATTTTGCTCCAGAAAAAACTCATTTTCACTTGCCTAAGTGGTATTTTCCATTGCTTCAATTATTTTGAGACCTTGTTCCCTAAAACCTAAATCTTCATTTCTTGTTTGACCTCCAGATTACAGGTTTTCCCAATGTCAGCGTTCAGGGAAGGTAAACAAAATCTTTCTATTTTGTTATTCCTCTGCTCTCATCCCTCCAGTGGCTTCTCACATTTCTTTCAGAGTATGACTCAAGGCTTTGCCATGGCCTACAAGTCAGCTCACCAAACAATCTCCAGCCTACTGCTCTCCCACTGTGCTCACCACTCTACTACTACATACTTTGCTCCAGCCAAACTTAGCTTTGAGTGGACAGAACAAGTGCCCTAGCCACCCCCTCAACCTCTTTCCTCGCCATTCCCTCTGTCTGCAACTTTTTCTTCTAAATATCTGAGAGACTTGCCTCTTTGCTTTCTTGAGGTTAATTGCTTGACATTTTCCCTTTTAAAGTTCTGCTCTTAGAAAGGTCTTGCCTGATAACACTACATAAAATAGCAGCCCCTTGCTTAGTCACTTTATATCCCCTTTATCTTGCTTTGTCTTTTTAAAAATTATTTAATTATTTTTAAAAAATTTTTCCCCCTTTACCTTGCTTTATGATTCTCACAATATTATATTGATTTACTATTGCCTCTCTCCTTACTAGAATGTAAGTTCCCTGTGTACAGGGACTTTACTCATTGCTCTTTCCAGTGCCTAGAATATACCTAGTATTTAGCAGGTGCTCAAAAATATTTGTTTAATGAATGATTATACTAACTCCTCAGCATTTCATTTTCTTTTATTGCTGCCTCACCTTTTCTCACTACCATATCCCTTTCTTTAATGCTACCAAAAATTTATTGAAAATTCATAGCCTGATTAAAATGGTTCTCCATCATCTAGAACCATTCTATTTTTTCCAACCATATTGCTCATTCATTTTCCAAACAAATCTCCCATTCCCTTCTAGTCAGGTGGTTCTACCATCCCAGATTACTTTACCTATTCATCTCTCTTTACCTCTACCATCCTGGAATGTCATTCCTGCCTCTCAAGTCACAGTCTCTCCACAAAGAACTCCCTTTTCACACAATCTCATTTCCACATTCATTATGCATCTGAACTTTGTTCACAATTTTTAAGATTCTAAATTTCTTAATTATGGGTATCTTATACTTCCTTACATTTCCTATCAATGCCTCATATATAACTTCACAAATATACTAAATTGTCACTAAAGTATTCCTTATATTCTGCCATCAAAATGAACAACCAAAACTTTGGCTTAGTTCATAAAATTCAGGATAAAGACAAGACTATAGAATGCTTGCTTTGAACTTACTGCATTCTGAGTATATCTCTTGAAAATCTCCTGCTGTCATAGAAAAGTTAGAACCAGGAGGAAGACTGTGAGGGTCAACATCAGGGAAAAAGATGGGTCGAATCTGATCAGCTGATTTCCGGTTATTGCTAAACTGATGGATCCAGGGATAAAGCTTATATTTATTTATTTCAGAACATCTGTAAAACATGAGCATAAAATTCAGTGTTAACTAAACATTTTATCAAGGAAGTTAAACACTAAAATACAATGCTTGATTAAAGGCTCACATGATTCATTAATATTTCAAGTGTTACCTCTATACCTCACCCAATTATCTGAAAATGCACATATACATGTAGATGAGTAACCAATCATGGAGTAAAAGAAAAAAATTGAAATTCAAAGATATGTGTTGTTTATTCAAATTCTTAAAAAATGTATTTCTGAACTTCAAATTCAAGTAAAAAACATTCCAGCAATTTTTTTCCCAAAAAATTATATTGGCTTTATTGGTAACCTATTTCAATTATTTCGTACATCCCACTCCTTTTACTTTCCTACCATACCCTAACTCACGCTGCCACTAGAGGTAACATTTAAACGAGGCAGCTTTTTTCCCCTCTAATACATCTCTTTTGGCTTTAAAAATTACAGTTCTTCTCCACAACCTTCTAAATGAGGCCACAGGAGTTCTGAGTGATCTTTCCATTTCAGTTTATGTGAGCATACTTGGCCATTTTATAAGAATTTGATAAAGGAAAAAAGTTACGATTGTCACACTGAATTCATATGCCACTAGTGAAACAAAGGGGTAAAGAAGCTTAAATAAAAATGAGGAAACACTCCTTCCTGGATTATACTTAGTCCTAAAAATTCTGGACAGAAATCATTTGAGTCATGGAATGTCCAATCATTTTCTAAAAAGTCACTTACCCATTCTGTTTCAACATTCTGTTAACTAGGCAAATGGTCAAAGTGGTAGTTTGTATTAAGTAATCTGATTTTAATAGAACATTTATGATACACACCATAATCAAATACTTTATACTTATCTTCAAATTCAGAATTGTTAAAAAATAGGTAAGTCAATCTGATTCTGAAAAATTACTATTTCCAGCAAAAAGTAAATTAAATACCTGTTGAGTACAAAGTTGGAAGAAAAGAGCATAAAAAAACTCCATTCATTTCCTTGACAAGCATAACCTAGCATAGCTATTTCCCAGGCCAGTCTTCCTAGTCCAGCACCAGGTACCAGAATATTTACTTTAGAAGGATCCCTGAAATGAAATAAGGCAATTATGTCCAACCCCTCAAGGAAAAAAAAAAAGATAAAATCCACATTAACAGCTACAAACTTGATACCCAATTAATAATAAGCTCACTTAAGACTCTGACTTCTTAACATTGAGAAATACTTCTAAATATCAATGAAAAATAAAAGTAATTAAATGTGCAGATATCAGATGAGGGTTTTATCCTGTAAATATTTTTTTTTCAGAAATAAATGAGAAGCCTGTATCCGAAAACTTAAAGAAGTTATTCATATTTGTCATTCAACAACTGTCTCAGAAAGATAAATTATCTCAAAGGAATCCCAAAACGTATGAGACTGAACAAAATTATTTTATCATGAGACAGTAAAACAAAACACTTCTTTATTTCTAAACCCTGTTATCTTACATAATGATTTATTTAACTAGATTTAAAGGATGTAGATTTTAACATGTCAGGTATATCTTTAAAATCATTTCACAAGAGAATCTAAAGGGGGGATAGTCTCATTCAGAAAATGGGTACTGCCTTCTAATACAGAATATGTGATGGCAACATCACACTAACTAGAGGTTCACAATCAGACTGCTCTAAGCATCAAACTACCATCACACATTTCTTTTGCTGTAAGATTTGCTATTCCACTTTCAAACTGCTAAAAAAATCCCCTAGCAGACCAAAGATTTATCTCACAAATCCTTGCAAATCAATGTAACCTTAAGGAAACAAAAATGGTGTTCATACAGGAAACCACAGGAAAGTGGTATCATGTCACTTAAAAGGGAATTCCATTATTTGTATTTTCTTTTAGTTCATAAGTCAAATCCAATTTCCAAATCAACTTCCATGTAAACATCTGTTATCTTTAAACTACATGGTCTACATGGTCTCTAAGTTTGCATCTGAGGAGAAATAGGGCATTTTACTAGATGCCCATATAATAAACTTTGCATTTCCCATTTTGAAATGAAAGAGAGAGAACTATTGAGCTTTTTACTACAGATATAGAACTATGGGAACTTGAGATCATACACAAATGTTTGTGTGAACACTTAATTTTTAATGAAGAAATGGGGCATTCTTTCATGGTATTCAGGCCTACCTATATTAGTTATCTAACAAGAACAGGCAATTTTAATTTTAAAATTTTAAGTACTCCTACTCTAGAATTCTATGATACGCCTGATTTAGGCATCTCACCCAATGTGCTCTCTCATTTTCCACTTTCTGCCAGACCCACCAAAACTCTTACTCTCTGTAATTACCCATTTCTCAGTTTCTATTTGTCCAATCAAAACATGCATTTTCCACAAGTGGCTGTTCTCATCAGATTTTTTAAAAAAGATTTTATTTATTTATGCATACAAGAGCTGGGGTGTAAGCCAGAAGTGCAGGGGATGAGAGGATCATCAGAGAGAGTGGGGAACAGAAAAGGCAGATATACTGAAGTACACGGCCTAGGGGAGCAGCAGGCAAATCAGGAGAGGTCTGCTGCACCATGTGGGTTATCTCCCTGGTTGGGGAGTGAACTTGTGTTGCAGTGGCTGCCCATAGCTTCATAGTGCTGAAACTTAACCCCTTGTGTCAGCAGGGAGGCCCCATCTTATTTTTAAAAAGATTAAAGCAATGCAACCACAGTAAAAGACTTTGGCAATAAACGCATAGGGCATTACATCTTTATAAAAATAATGACTAACAATTTCTGAATGGCTGATAATCCATGTGGAAATCATGCTAAACTTTGGTAAGTTGTGTTAATAGTCAAACCAACAATTTGGTTACTTACAGAAATTTAACTTTATAATTGCTATTACCAAGTTCTCAGTAACTAATCAGATCCATAGAACTCTTTACCCAAAAAAGTTTCTATATAAAACTGCCATTTAAAGTCTGTCACCAAGCCATGGAATAAAGAATATATTAAGGATCTATTTTAAGAGTTAGTAAAGCTTACTATAGATCTATAGATCCAGCAATTATTTGTACTGTGACAGGATTCCAGAGGGCTTATAAAAGGAAACACATTAAAACAAACTTTAGAATTGATAAAAAGAAAGAACATGGCAATGAATATGCAAGATACAACTTTTTCCTTAAATCTTTGTTCTTCACTAGATTTCTCCCATTGGGATATTAATAACATAATGGAAAGTTCCTCTAATTATAACATCCTGAAACTAAGGTACTCTATATGGCAGCTTCTGCTATGAATTCTTAAAGTTGAGGGGATTGCTATAAAGGTATTTCTGTGAAGAAGAGGAGCAATATATATCTAAGTTAGAGTTTCAAGGTGAATTTACATTAAGCTAGGTTAAAATTTAGAAAGAAAAGGGGTGTATGTGCCTCATAATCAAATATTGTCTGCTTCAGATTCTTAGCAAAGACAAGAAAACAGTTTTACCTAATTACTAAGATCCATCTATGGAGAAGCAGTATATTTACTACACACCTGATACCTCCCCCCCCCCACCATAATATGGGAGAAAATTTAATACTTTATTCCACCAATAAGAATGGAGAAGTATGTATCTGTAAGGACAGAAGAAAGCTGCAGTATGTCTGAAGAAGCCATGGATTGCATTTGCATCACCCTTTGTGCTCCAGTTATTTTACTAGCAATAAATGCTGTTCTTGAGAGTGGTTTCTTTATTGTACACAGAATGATCTTTGCATTGCAGTTGCACATTAACAAGCCCGACCAAAAAAAAAAAAAAAAAAAATTAGTTCCTCTTGTGTCAGCATTATACTTGGCTGACCCCTAGTGGTAGGAGTATGCACAACTTTCAAGCACCAAGGTGCTCTGGGCTGTTTGAATTATTGCAATTCCCTGTACCATGTAATAAAAGCCACTAAACAATTTGTTACCACTAAACGCATAAAATGTAGCTAGTCATAATTGAGATGTGCTGCAAGCATAAAATAAATATCAAATTTCAAAAATTTAGTATTAAAAGAATGTAAAATACTATCTAATGTACTGACTGTATGATAAAACAATATTTTAGATACACCGGGCTATTAAGATATATTAATTTCACCTGTTTCTATTTAAGTATATAGACTAGATAATTTAAAATGTGGACTACATTTGTGGATTTCTATTTTACAATACTGGCCAATATAGACAAATCATAAAACACAATATTGAGGGAAAAAAATTGTGAAAACACTACAATCATTACATGTTGTTAATGTTGGAATGTAAAAATCAAAATAATAAACAAATTCAAATTAGTGGTTATCTCTAGAAAGAGAGAGAAGAATGTTTTCTGCCCTTCTGTTTTCAGGGCAATTTCAGCTGTACCTGTAAATGTTGATAGTTTTTTTTAAATACACACACATGCAGGTGGACACACACACACACACACACACACACACACACACACAAAGATCTGAAGCAAATATGGTAAAGTATCAAGGTTTAATAAAGATAGGTGTTGGAATATTTTTTATTCAAAGTAGCAAATCAGTTAGAAATCAGAGATGGTGTCTTGCCCCTACAAAAATGTACCAACTTATCTCGTCATTCATTCCTCATATAGAATTGTATGTATCAGCTACACAAATTCTCACCAATTCCGGAAAACACTTTTCTCACCTTAATCTTTAGAGCTCATACATATCTATAGAAACTGCTAAAATTATTGAATTATCTATGACGCTTTCCCCAATATCCCAGGCAAAGCTTGAACTCTTATCTTGATGCTTTCAGTATTTTTTGTTAATATGTCCTTTATATACCAAGTTCATCAGTTTGTTTATTTAACAGTGGTCAGCATCTATGACTCACAGGCCAGACACCTTCTTGTGTAAGTAAAGTTTTAAAGGAACATAGCTATGTCATTTATGTATGTGTTGCCTATGGCTGGATTCTCACAAAGCTGAGTAGATCCAGAGACCACATGATCCACAAAACGTAAAATATTGACTATAAAAGTTTGTCAGTCCCTGATGTAATGCATCATGGACCTCTTTATGGTATACAGGCACTTTCTTAACCTGTTTTTACTTAATCTGTTTTACAACTGAAAAAGTATTCCATTGCATGATTGTACCACAATGTATCAAAATCCCCTAAGGAAAGTCATTTAGAATGCCTCTAGTTTTTTGTTGCATCTTTGCCATACATAAGTTTTCACATGCATGAGTGTATCTTCCCCTGAAGTTGAATTACAAGAGTAAAAAAAGGTACATTTACCTTTTCCATTTAAGTTTTATTGCTAAATTGCCCTCCAATAAGGTTTCACAAATTTATTCTCCCATTAATGTTTCCTGACATCTTCAAATAATACTTAAATAACTTCTAAATCTTTGCAATGTGATAGGTGAAAAAAATGGCACCTTAGTGTTTTTTTACATTTGCATTGTCTTATGAGACTGAAAGAAATGTGAACTATATGTTTGTCTTTGGTCTTAGAGGGAAAAATCAAGATGAGGGAAAGATCTGTTTTCATCCTTTAAACTATGATCACATTATTTGGCATGCTACATAGTTAATTTCTCTTTTAAATGACTTCTTTCAGCTAAAAGAACTCTTAAATGTGATACTTTCCATTTTTTATTTTAATGTAAGTGGGAAAAATGCTTCTTTAAAGCCCAGCATGTTTTCTGAAGACGCAACTATATAAAAGAAAAATTATCAACTAGTCAATAGTATGTATGTTATTGGAGTGCTAGATATGAAATGCAAAGACACAATAAAATGCCCACCTACAAACAAAAATGTCACTTCAGTTTCTTCTAAAACAGAAAGGGTAAATGAAATTCGTATCTAAAAAACAGTTCAGCAATTTTCAGCATTCTTAAGAAAATATGATTTTACATGGTGGTGATTTCACCTATAAGGTATGACTTAAGAATCTGTTTCCTAACTATAAACTTTGTCATAATGAATTTAAATAGCATGTTGGACCATCATTTGAAAAAATAAAAAGCCTCAATATATACTGTTAGAATCATCAACTGAAAAGAGTTCTATGGTAGAGTTCATAGTTGAGAAGGTTAA